TATATGAGATTTTCGTTTCATTCAGGCACCGAAGATAGTAGGGGGGACTACTGTTAACATTGTCATTGTGCTAAGATATTGTACTTCAAACAGGAGTAGTGCAGTAATAGTAATGATGATGATGATTATTATTGATTGTAACCTGAGTAATAAAAAATCTAATGATAATTATTATAATGATTATTATACTTAAGATACTATGCGAGAAAGTGTGGAAATCACGTAGCGGTAGAGAAAAGCGGCCAAACGCCGGCTGAGCAACGGGCTCGTCAGCGGGAGGTCCTCGCTCGACACGTCGGGACCATATACCCACTCCCTGCTCTCTACATCGAAGAATCGTTATTTGTCTTTGGTCGAAAGTTGAGATAATGTCATTGTCACGTCGACAAACACTAACAAAAATAAAGAAACAAGTAAACTTTGCACCTTAACGTTCTTTCCCTTTGCAACCAAATAAAACAAAGCTGCTTGTATTAAGCAGCCAACCGCTGTGGCCCATATATTATTTAACGGGCTTCGTTCCACCGGTTATTATGATCATACAGGAATAAACAAACATAGCTATATATAGATAGCGCGGTGGAAGTAAATGATGCATTAATGTTCGAACGATCCTACGAATACGACAAAAACTAGAGGTGGCATAGTGTTGATGGGATTCAGGTCCGACGGCTCTTTGAAGGCATTTGTAATATTTCTCTGTATATCAACAGTAACCCTAATAGCAGCGACAGCCAAAACAGCAATTTAATAGCACTGATGGTGACAGCGGCTGTAGAGTACAAGAAATAAAACACACGACACGTAATAACTGCGATACACGTAATTCAGTTTTTCCTAGTGCAATCGTATCACGCACAGATTCCCTACACAGGCCCACACTCACTTGCCATATTAAAACATCACAAGGCAGCGGCAACAAACATGAACATGATTGTTCACGAGTCAGCGAAAAGCCGGCCAATGAAAACACACATCAGTATAGAGTATGAAAATATAGAAAATGTCTCGGCTTTTGTCTCGTATTGAGTTGGGTGTGTTTATTTCGAACGTTGAACGTGACAGCGACGTTTGTTGTGCGTTACAGATCTTGAACAAACAGGTTGAAAGAACATTGAGCAGGAGAATCGTCCTGCTATTTCCGCCTTTCTATCTAAACATAGGGACAACGTTATCATTGCGTACACTGCAACCCACCGGAATACAGAAAGTGTCAATCGGAATGTGATACTTGAAGTATTCACTGTATGAATAGTATAGCTAATCCGGGGTGACTTAGCTTAGGGCTAACGCTTCGTAGTGGTGTATTCGCCCGTGTACTATATGGCCCTACTAGAAGATGGGCTCTATTTACGTTCGTGGATCTTTTAAATGTTCTCTAAATTCAAGCAAAGTTTCGCAAGTGTGAAAATGCTTTCTTGTTTTATATTTTACGCCAACATTTATTTCCCAGCCATACATACAATTTCTAAAAATTCATACGTTACCTTTCAAAATTAAGCTACATTCGCTGCTCATACAGATAGAGCATCAAACATGCACTGAAACAACACACTGACCTTCGTCTCGATCGCGATAACAACCAACTACAAACAGAACTGAATACACATAAACACAGAAAATCGGTGAGGATTATTGCTAATATTATCGTAGAGGGATAAACGTACTACTAATATTATTAAAACGAAAATTAACATGACGATGATAATAACGATGAGCGCGACCATCACTAACGATACGAAAGAAGACGATAATGAGCTGTTTTTGGCTGACTGATATATATATAACCGAATAAATAAACATAGAGGAAGCGAGAGAGTAGGAAAATTACAAGAGTAATTAAAGAGAGACGCCTATTTCTAGCAACGTATCCCTATCACCACACTTTAGATATATGACGGTAAGTAGTAAGAATAAAAACGGCAACAGAGGCTAGATGATAACGGTATTGGTTGGGCGACACAAGTGAACTAATCAGAGGGAACGAAGCTCGAGTATACCAGAGGTAAAAAACGGCAGCAAGTAGGAGACATCTTGCTTCTTGTTCACCTTGAAGAGGAACAGTTTCGCACAAGACGTGCTCTCCTCAATGGGGCGAAGGTTTTTTCTTCTGGAAAAAAAAGGACGTTTGTGAGACTTGGATGACAGCGAAGGACAAGCAGTAAAAATACATAGCAGAATAGACATCCACACACACAGACGCACGTAAAATTAAAAGACAAAAAGAAGCCATACAGTGGTGTGGAGGAAAACAACGAATGTTCCCGCACAAGTCGAGATTCGAAAAATTTAATTGACCCTTTGTTTGAAATTTCGACTCGCACAATACAAGGACACCGATGCTACACATACAAATGGATCTATAAAAAGAAAGAGGGAAAATAGTGAGGCAAAATATTACGAAAAAAAAAAGAAGAGAAAAGATCGTTTCAAATAAGGTCATGGAAGAGATAGAGATGATGATCATCATCAGCATCGGCATCATTTTTAAGAAAAAAGACAATGATGTTTCCAAAAACACGGCGTTAAGTTCCTCTCTTAAATTTCTGTGCCATGAAGGGACTATTGAAAAACTTGCAAAGGTATGCATATATTTGTATGCATACACGAGTGTACGGATGCATGTACAAGGGAGCGAATAGGTATAGAAAGAGATATGAATCATTATCCTAACCGCGGCGGTCAACTCTAAATTTTCATCTCGTCTTTTGAAGTAGTAAACCATAAGAGTGACAAAGCCCAGAATGCTGTTGCTGCTCATCTAAGGCACTATTGTTAAAAACTAACATATAAAATACGAAGCAACAGTTTGTCTGGAAGCAAAAGGAACTATAATAATTTGTCTAAGTTACCTTGAGTCTGAGTTGATTCAAGACAAAATTTAACGCTTAGCGTTGAAGTGAAGATTTCGTAGATCAAGTATGGCAATTATATGCTATGCTTACTTACTGCTGTTGCTGTTGAATTCTCCTTATAAGTACAAGAAAATAGGGTGTTGTTCTAATTACTGATTAAATAATCGCCCGTCAGGTTCAGCGAATAATTCTGTAATGAGAAAAACGAAATAATCGAAGTATCTGGCAAGCCCTGGATACACATTAACTTATAGCAGAAGAGATAATAAATTTATATAGTCCACTCGAACGAACCGTTCTCGGTCATCGTCACAACAACAGCAACAGGGGTAATAACAAATGGCATCAACAAGAAGAATAACAGAGTGCGCCAACAACATTAGCATAACAATTACAAAACACTTATTTTCAATAAAATGGCCGGCGTAAAAAAACAACAATACCGACAAACGAGATTTAAATAGTATTACTATTGTAATGAACCAAAATAAATTGCACAAATGTTGAACGCTAAATTTTACTGTTTTTATTGACCATACGCCGTTTCTAATTCGTAAGGTGGAGTAGATATGTTTACATGCACTTAATATACAATAATATTATACCAATAGGAGTAATTTTTCTCCTTTTTTCAGTTACGTGGCAATGTTTCAATTCATGAGAACCTTTACGATTCGAGAATACGGATAAGGTATCCGAGTGATGGATGCGGGGGACCGAGAGATGAGTTGTCGTAGATAAGAATGAAGATAGAGTCGGGGGGAGGAAAATTCGTAAAATTTGTTTTATTCACGCGAAGGACTAACACGAGTGTGCGTGAATAAACTGAACAACAACAACAACAACAACAAGTTTATTAGCGACTCATTTATACATAGATCGGTCATAAGATATATATATATGGGAATTTAGAAAACTCAGGTTCACCTATTTGGGGTAACTCACACACTAAGTAAAAATGTCAATTTCCAGAGATCTTATCCTTTAATAAAAACATATAGTAAATAATAATGAATCATTTAGTTTAAACAATCTAATCTATTCGATGTGTGTAGAGAAACGTACATATTCTGTCTGGACCGCTAAAATAGCCCGACATTTCTGACCCAAAATGTTTGCCTAGTTACGTTAAAAATAGTAAATCAGTTTGCAATGTGAGAGTAAGACATTTTTATCCAAAGATTTCTTGCCAATTTTGACAAGCTGGCTATATATAGCAACACGATTGGCGCTAACGTGAAATCTACAACAGATATTTCTTCTTTTGAAAAAAAAAATCGAGAAAGCCAATTCGTACAATTTTTAGCTGGGTAGCAGCTTTCCGAACGAACGCGTTACGAATTTTATATTACCATTCATAACTGTCGATAGTGACAGATCTCGTATGCCTATGCGCTGAAGTTTAGCTGGTATAATAAGCTACGAGTGCGCCTCATTTGAAGAAACGATTTTCGGAACAAAGTCAAGATCGTTTTGTAGCCTATTTGGCAAGCGTACAACTCTTCGCACACTTGTACTCGTGCTTTGGAATCCTACAACATCAAACACCAAAATCTTCGTGTGCGACAGGCTCAAGGGTTGCGATCGGCGAAAAATCGAGGTGCTCGGGCTCGCTTTCGATCTCCTATTTTATATAGAGTTTCATCCATGCGGACTCCTTGCAAATGGCTAAGGCGCGGGGCAACAGATAGACACAGCCGCTTTGCAGACGAACCTTGCACAGGATGACATTAGGGCTTGGAAGATGCATCATGCTCACCTTGCAATGTACGATAGCGTCGTCAAACTCGGGGCTTAAAACACCTGGTCCTGTAAATAGGATCGATAATTCAGGTCCTTCGGCTAGAGCCTATGATAAAACAGCGGCGTTCTTTGCCGGTTTTTTTTGACCTCATTATTTCGTCTGCGTCTAAGACATGACCATGGTGCAGACATACGAGGTTGGTACATCGAGAATAAACGACTCCATAGATAACTCCACTAGCTAAAAGCTAATCGACATTTTGAGATAATCTTCTCTTAACCGTGGATTACTGAAAACCTGAACGTTGTCCATTCAGAATCATCTCAACAATGAGACCAAACGGAATAGCGTAACATATTATGCCTATTGCACAATCCTATCGATATGATGAAAAAGAGTGTTTCGTGTATAATTCAGTATTAAATGAATGTTCATTTTTATTAGTAACCTTTTTCTGCCATTTTGTATGTGACATAAATAACACTAATAATTTTTTTTCGATGCACTTCTACTCTCTGTATCAGTTCCACAAGCATGCATATATTCGTGTTCAGTAATAATCCCTTCGCTTCTTTCGATCGTAATAATAATATTATCTTCAACTATCCGCAGTCCAGTCTTGTTTGAAGTCGAACCGACCGCGGACAGTAACGCCGTTTGTACAATATATACAATGCAAATGTTTAATCATAGAAAATGTTACTGTAAGAATTTTACTTAGCA